TGTATATTTTGGTACGTCTTTTTTTTGTGAATTATTTATTATTTATTTAAGAATTTCAAATACGTTTTTTATTTTAAAAATAATAATAATTTAAATTTAACCACAATTATAACATCTAATCACATTATACGGTAAACACATTATATGGTCAACAGTCAATAATCAAAAGTTTAAAATGATTTTTGTAATTTTGAAGTGATTAGTGTTGATTATTTAACAATTAAATAAAAGATTAAATACATCAAAAGTAACGGTTTTTAGAGGGAAACGGTTAAATTGCCACATTGGTAAAATTAAATAGATTTTATTAAATGCTATTAGCTAGTATATATATATAAATTTCGGGGATTATGTTATGTGGCGGTGGCCGATTTTTCTCCCGAAGTTGCTTTTTGTCATTTAATGGGACGATTTTATTACAACATGAATGAATTGTACAGTGAGATGCAAAGGAGTTTGTGATTTGTATATACAATGGAAATATTTAAATTTAATTACTTGTTGTGTTGTATATAATATGGGAGATATTTAAATTTAATTAATTATTGTGGATTTTACAAAATAGCTATTTTAAATTTAAGTGAGTATTTAATTGAGATTTTTAAAAAAATTTGAAGAACTTTTAAGACTTTGAAAATTATGGTATAATTTAATTTAGAGTTCTCAAGACTTACAAAAGTCTTGAGATATTCATTTGGTATACATCCCGATATATTTAATTATTTGAGATTAACATTTGTTAAAACTTTTTAAGATTTGTTGGAATTTCTAAAGAAATAAACATATACTAAAACTCATTACAAATCTCACATCCAAACTTAAAATTTCATAAGATTCCTCTAATTTAAAAATTTCAAATCTCGATTAGCCTTTAAATGTCACTCGAAATTCCAAACGAATACACCTACTTGTCGTGGATTTTACAATAGCTACTTGCTAAAGAAGTATGAATATCTAGTTGCCACTTAAAATTGGTAAATTTTACTAAATGTAGTTAGGACTATATTGTCGAAAAATTTTACTAAAATCAAAAACAACTTTAGTTACTAAAAAACAAAGTATCATAAATTAGTGAGAATAAATAGATAAAACATTGTGAGTGAATCAATTTTTGATAATAAAAAAAATTATTTTCGAAATTCAAAGGTACTAAAGATAATAAGGAAAAAAGAGAAATGTAACGGCTACACAGTAAATGAGGTTTTCACCAATATTAATATAGCAACACATTAATACAAATCAAATATGTTTTTATAATAAAATAATGAAAAAAATAAAATTGAAAAGTAACGGTTTTTGGCGGGAAAGTGCCATGTAGGTATAATTTAATAGGTTTTATTAAATGTTTATGAGCCAGTAATTATATATATATAGATAGTATTAGATTAGTAATAATAATACATAAATGCTATAATTAAAACCAAAGTAAAAATTAGCTTATTTGACGTTGTTGATATATTATAATAGCAACCTAGAAATTTATGTTGCCAACAATCACCCTCACCTCTATATATAATTCTCGAATGCGCTGAGCCTACGTGGCTGTTTCTGGTACTTCGAAATCTTACTTGGCGAAGAATCATGCTTCGTAATTAAGTTTGGACAAATAATATTGATATATTAATAATTAATAATCTAGGTTCGGACATTCCATAAATATTATTTAGCTTACTTGGGTATTTTAATATCACTTGTACTAATATAACCCTTTAATTATTTGTAATTTTACATAGTGAGACACTAAGTGACTAATATATCCCTGACTTTTGATTTGTTTCCTTTAATTAGCTATTGAATTGTAAAGGTATTTTAAAAGTTGATAATCTTTGTATTTTTTATCGGTTTTACATATATAATATATCAAATTAAACATCTTTTGACGATCTTCGATTTGACATCCATTTGTATATATGAAATAAATAAATTATATTTATCTTTAAAATAATAAAAAATAAGAATATTTATTAAAATTTATAAGAAAAATAAAATTATTTATCAATTAATATATTTATTTTAATGTAGTTATATGTTGTAAGTTAAAAATTATTATAATATAACACAGGTAAGTCGCACAAATAAAAAGTGTTATACTAAATATATAATAATAATAAGAAAAAAAGGTAAAAAGGGGGGAAAGAATAAAATAAAAAATAAAAAATCGCCGCCATGAACGCACCGGACCAAGAAAACCATGTTTTCGGCGAGACAGCCGACCAGTTGAGCGGGTTTCTGCGAAGAATCGTTAGCTTTACTCTACTGCCTCGCTGACTCGGCCAAACTCTGCTTCCGCTGTGACCTCGAGGTACACTCCACAAACCCACTCTTCAGGAAGCACGTGCGGTCCCTCCCCTGCAATTCGTGCAATTCCTCTTTGTCCTCGATCTTTTGCCGCACCAAATCCGTCGTGCTCTGCCAGAACTGCGACTGGGAGTCTGGGATAGAGCTTTTTGAAAAAGGGCTTTCTTCTCCACCTTCTCCATCGTTGGTAGTATGTGCAGAGAAGGTGAGAGAGATAAATCACTTGTAATAACTTTCTTAAAAACTGATGTTACCAAATTTAATATAGAATTAATTTGCACATTAATTTTTTGGTTGTAAATAAAATATATATATGTATCCTTTGCAAATAATTATATATGTCTTGTAATAATGTAATAAAGTTGTTAATATATGGTAGACCACGTAATTTCCTCTTTGATCAAATTCATTGCAGATGATGGCTCGCAGCGGACCATATTTGGGCTTGAAGATGTTGGACCAATATCTGGGCCAGGGATAATAGGCAGCCCAATCGTGCTTGTTAATTTTAGACTAAACACATAGTATATGCATATTTAAATATTGTTAACTTATGATTTTAACTATTGAGAAAGGCTAGAGTCACGTTGACAAAATGGTTCTGTCACGGTTTATTCACTTTCTATCTACAATAGTTTGGCTTGTTCTTTTTGCAACCTACTTGTGGTATCGTCCAAAGTCTGTTCCAGTCGATTTATTCACTTTCTAGATAATAGATATTAACTAGTACAATACCCGTGTACAACACGGGTGTTGAGTTAAAAAATATACGATAAAAGATATTTATGTCTAATACCAAACTTAACTCTAGAGCACAAATAATATAAAAACAACATCAAGAAGCATAGATTTTCGTCATGTCAGCATCCAAAGCGTGTCTGTCAATTAAGTTCAATATATTTTTTTTTAGTCAAGTTAGTGCCTAGCTAGGACTGGCTAAAAATTCGAACTGAATCGCTGAATCATAGATCCGAATCGAAATCGAACCAAATTTTCGGTTAACCGGGGTACTCGGTTCGGTTACAAATACCTCAAAGGAAGTATTTGCTCGGTTCGGTTCGGTTACGATTTTTAGTATTTTTTTTATCCCGGTTAACCGAACCGAACCGAACCATATATTATATTAAAATTTACAAAATATATATTATATTATATTATATATATTATATTTATATATATTAAATTAACTTGTTGGTATGGCTATTCGAGAATTAACCGAACCGAACCGAACCGAGCAAACCTAACACAGATTTGTGTTAGGTTTGCTCGGTTCGATTAATTCGCGAATAGTAGGATTTTTTTCGGTTAACCGAAGATTTTCAGTTCGGTTTCGGTTAGCAAGTTCAAATATTTGCTCGACTCAGTTTGGTTAACAAATACCTCAAAAAACTCGAGTATCCGAACCGTGCTCAGCCCTATGCCTAGCGGTGTAAAGTTTGAAAAATTTAGGTGTACGAAAAATATAATTTTCTCTTTCCAACACTTGCATTTTTCCAATAAATTTATAAAATTTAAAATAAACCACTATTGTATACCCATTTATCTTAAATAGTATAACAAAATTACTATTCAGCCATTAACTATCGAACTATAATTTTAATATTTTATCTTCCAAAACGCAACTAAAAATATTTCATTTCATAGAAAATAAATTAAATAAATGGAAATTAATTAAATTAGATGGATCAAATAAATATTCAAGTGTCAGTACTCAAATTTGGCGAGTATCAAAATTATGTATTATTTCTGGTAAGATGTTAACACAGTGTAACAAAATAAAAATTCTTTACTTTATCTCAAATCATTTCATAGTGTAATTTCTAAATTTATAGTTGAGCCATCTTTCATGTCGAGCTCATAAATATTTAATTACTGTATTATTATTATTATTATTATTATTATTATTATTATTATTATTATTATTATTATTATTATTTGAAATGTTAGTAATCTACAATTGTTGGGTGCTTATCTATTTATTCATGTATATTAACACTGTCACTGGCATATTGTATTACTGATCTTATTTAACAAGCGAAATATGAACAGAAAAAATCCTAGAAATTAGCAGTCAAAGTTCCAACAGTGTACTGAAAACATCAAGTGCAAACCCGAGCAAATACCCGAAATCGCCAGTCAAGTTCCTCCTACTTTATACAGAAAAATTAACAAGTGCAGAGAGCAAATCTCCAGAGTTCACAAGTCAAGTAAGTTCCTACATTCTGCCGAAAGCTCTCGTGAGAACCACAACAGATTAAACAGCGTCACACCTTAGGCTGATAAATGTCTGTCCAGCCAGCTGGGCCTGACCTTCGGAACCCTCGCAGGATCTCAGCAATGGCTCGTAAACACGTGAATTCCCCTGCATATTGGTTTTGTCAATTGAGAAAATCAAAATAAACCCCAAAAGCTAAAACCCCTCCATATCTATAGAGCATCAAAATGATTCCCCAAGCTCCTCCATGTATCATCAGAATATCAAAAATTTTCACATATATAATGCAAATTTATCCGAGAACATCAAAACTCACACACACTGATAGGTTTAACTGATAACTGATAACTCAAAATTTGCACCCAAAAGGATTCGTTACACTTTAACTGATAACACAACTTAACCAGACAAAATTATGGATAAATAAAATTAAGCAAGTACTTTTGACACAAAACCAAAACCACATAGAACTATATATGTAGGTTACCTGCTGAAGAAGTGTCTGATGCATAATTGCTTTGTGCAACGCATCCTTGTGCTTTCTCTTCAGTTCCCGAATATCATTTTCAAGCTTACCCACACGACCTCCATGAGTGTCAGCTTCTTCTTTCAAAGCAAGATATTCCTGCCTGTGTTCTGCTGCCCTCTGTATCTTCTTTTCCAGAGACTTCGTTAACTGTGTATGTTCAGCTCTACGACATGATATCTGCAAATATGTCTGTCGCATTTTAAGCTATTGACAAAGGTAACTTCAGCTCATTTAAAACAATGTAATGAAGGAAAACCTGGGCTTCAATAATATTTATTTGAGACAGAGTTTGAGTTAAAACGCTCAATAGTCGAATGCTCCTTTTCCTCGGACGTTGCAGCTTTGGCCTCTTCCTGCATGTTAGATAAATTGCATTCAAATACCTCTAAAAAAATAATCCGATTTGGTATGTATATTAGCCCCAAAAAAATTGAAAATAATATATAAAATCGCAACACAAAAAAAACACATTTGACTACCCTAAAAATCGCAACACACAAATAATACAAATTGAAAATAATACCCTAAAAATGCACAACACTAAAAATCGCCTAAATAACACACAAAAAAATTACAAAAAAGCACCTTATCGCCGGAGAAGAACTCAAAATACACATTTTAACTAAAAAAACCCTAAAAATCGCAACACAAAAGAAGAAAACAAAAAAACAAACTTTGTTTCGCCAGAAAAGGTTCGAAAAAAAAATTGAGCTTCGAACCTTGTTTCGCTGGAGAAGAGAGCTTCAAAATCGCCGCAGCTTTAGGAGAGAAAATCAAGATTTTCACTTATATAAAGCAAATTTATGGGAGAAAATCAAAATTCAAACGCACACGCATGAAACGCAAGCAGTCCCCCATATGTTAACTCCATATATAGAGAGCATCAAAATGAATCCTCAAACAACTCCATTTATCATGAGAAAATCTAAATTTTCACATAATATACTGCAAATTCATCAGATAACATGAAAACTCAGTCGCACACACATGGATACCTTACACAAGCAGTCCCCCATATGTTAAACCCTCCATATATATAGTGGGTCAAATTGAATCCCCAAAGAAAATCAAATATATAACGCAAGTTTATCAGAAAAAATCAAAACTCACACACGCACACACACACGGATACCTTACGCAAGTGGAAGAAGTTCGGCATCCTGCCCCAGACATCAGCCAATACATCCCTGACCCGCCAAACAAACTCAGGAAACTCAGGCACCTTCATTTTGGCCACAACATCCCCAATAAACTCGACCCATGTATTTGCATAAACGATGTAATACACATTTATCATCCGGAAGGCCCTCCCTGACTTTTCGTACTTGTGGGCAACAAAAAACAACAGGTTCATGACAACTGTGAGACCGATATAAGGCAGGTCGAATTGTTTGATAGAGACCAAAGCCGAATTAACTAAAGCCATAATGTGGAGGAAAATGAGGTTGACCGTGACCAGTTCCCAGCTATCCTCCGAGTAGTGGGCCAACCAAATCGGCAGACAGAGAACTATCGAGACGAGCACGATACTGACAAATACTCCCGGCTCGATTTTCTGAATGCGGTGTGTAAACGGCAGCAGGAGTAGGATGAAGATGTATGCTGAGGAGCATGTTACCACTTTCAACAGCTTCAACGGGTTAATTTCTCCATGGGGAGCATCCCATACCCGCGCGAGCTGAACGCCGACCAGAGCAAGGAAAGCGAGTGAAGCCGTGATACTCCAGCACAGCCTCCTGCTGATTTCACTACGAACGAACAAACAGAGGAGAAATTAAGCAGCTGGAACATAAAAGGCGACCGCGAAATTCGAAACCGCTTACCTTCGCTCAGCCGCGGCTAGGGTTCGTGTTGCGACGGGAGGAGGCGGCGGAGGGACAGGAAGGACGTCGGAGTCGGCCTGTGGTTGTTCGGAGCTCGGCGGTGGTCCTTCAGCCGCCGGTAGCGAGCGGTTAGGGTTCTCCAGTGCGGAGAGGTTGGAGTCGTTTGGTGCGAGCTCGGGGAGGACGACGGCGGTGGGCGGTACGCCGGTGGGGGAGGGTGAACGGAGCATTGTGAATGGTTGTAAGTTTTTTTTTTCAAGAAAAAAAAATTCAGTCTGACGATGGGTCGCAATAAATTTCTATATCAAATTCCTTAGAGAAGATGGGTTCATTTTTTGGGCTAAAAATTATAGGGCCAATGTATGGGCCGGTGGAAATAGGTCGCCGAGAGTGACACCTTCACAGACGATGTTTGCCCAAATAAAATTATTTGTTTTTGTATTCCTTTTAAGAAATTTTTACTATTTTTATTCAATGTCTATGGACTACTCTAATTAATATAAAAGATAATGTTTCCTAATACGTTTAATGTCCATATCAAGTTATTAATGCGATTTAAGGGTTTATTTCCAATTACAATTGTTAGGTCCACATAATTGTCGTCACATCAAGCCATTCAATGCATAGATCAAAAGAAAAATTAATTTGGTGCATTCTTCAAAACTAGGTGATAATTTTCGGCTAGCGGACAAATTTCGGCTATCGCGTATACCAAGTTGTCGGTCGTGACATTGGCCCCGTCGCAACTGTGGAGAAGATTAACCCTCATGCATACCGTCTTCGTCTACCGTCGTACTTCGCGCGTTTGACGTGTTCGACGTCACGCATTTGGTGCCATATCTAGGTGACAACTCGGACGGAGACAAGCTCGGATCGGATTCGAGAGAGAATCCTTCTCAACCTGGAGAGGATGATGGAGACAAGCTCGCAATAGCTTTCTTGGAGAAATATGGCCAAACCCCGGCTCTAACTTAATTATTTACTTGCATAATCTATACTTATATTAAAAGCTATACTATTTACTAAATGTAGTATGTAGAAAAGTCAACTCTAATTAATGATTTGTTATTTTTATCAAGCATTTAATTAATGCATCTAATATTTTTGGTATGAAAATTAAATTAGCATTTAATTAGTTCCTAAAATATTGGGTATGCAATATTAATTTAGAAATATCCATGTAGTTCCTAAAATGTTGGTATGCAATACGTAAAAGAAGATTTTTAAATTTTTGTAAATATAAAATATTGCAACACATAAAACTATTCCAGTTATTTTTTATTTTATTTTACATATAAAATTTAATCAATATTTAATGCATCCTACAAATTGGATTTAGTTTAATTCTTCATACAATTGATTGTAACTTTTCAGTTGTACTTTTTTTTATTTATTTATTTTACACTTTTAAACTAATGAAGCTCTTTGAAAAAACTAAATCAAATGATTTATGAAAGTTTTTTATTTTTTTACAATTTTAAATCTATATACCCAGCTAAAAAAAACTCATTGCATAAATATGGACGAGTTTAAGAAAATTTCATAACCCAGCTTACAAAATTCCATCTCCACGAGTCAAAAAAATCACATCTCTCATCTATCATAATAACTTTAAAATAAATAAATAAATGTCTACTACTACTATAAATCTATTTATCTATGTAGATTTTTTTAAAATCTAAAATTCACATGTCTAATTACTAATATTTTACGGGTAGTTTAGAAAAGTTTAGGTAGCTTCAAACATTATTTGTGAATAATATAGAATATTTTAGATGCTTTTATAGATGTTATAAAATATTTTAAGTATTTTTAATATTTATATATCACACTTAGAAATAATATTTTGCAAAAAAAAAAAAAAAAACATTAAATACACATTATAAATGTTAATAGAAACAGCAGTGTTCGTCTTTGATCTCAATTACATATAAAATCTCTTTTTATTTGTCAGATAATTTTTGGTGTGCATTAATCACGATTTGTATTTGTAAAATTGATAGCTTTTGCATTAATTTCAATTTGTATTTGTAAAATTGATAAATTGTTAAGCGTACAAATTCCTTTTTTATGCTAACAACTTAAAAAAAATGATAGTAACTTTTGAAATATCGTGTAGTCAAATCTTCATATGGAAGTAACATCATAATTATGGTATCTTATAAATATTATCTAAAACAACTTTAGCGTGAGATAATGTCTTTATTTAGGCTTATAATATTTTAGATACTTAAACAAAATGTTCAAATATATTTTTTTACATATACTATCTATATGTACATATATATATATATAAATATACTCACATATACGTAACACATGTTAAGTTTAATTATTTTTAGACATGTGTTCTTTACAAAATAGTTTAAAAAATCTTACATGCACATCTATACGTATATAAAAAACATTCTATTTACTAGAATTAGTATTAAGAAAAGTCAAAGGTAATTAATACATTCTATTTCCATCAAGTATTTTATTTAATTAATTTAGTTAATTGTTTTATCTCATAACACCTTTTACAACTTACCATGATTTGTCTATTGTGATTAAAAACCAAATTTTACGTTTAAAATCTTGTGAAAATATTTATTATTATTTTTATAAAGCACATATTATTTGTTAAAAAATTGTATATATATATATAATACACATCACAATACCATTGTTGATGATTTAAATTTCAATCGACCAAAATGCCAATGATTTAAATTTGAACACACCTATGCGTTTCACCAAATGTCTGGATGGTTTAAAATTGAGCCCATAAAAAATTATTTAAGTTTGAACACACCAGAAATTTTATGTACTTTTTATTTATAAATATATTGAAAGTGGTATTTAATGGTTGTTATATAAACTAATTTAATATATTTGCAATGAATAAAAGTTTGAATGAATAATTTGTAATGTTATTCATAATGTTTGTGACTTATGAGACACGAACACATAACTCCATACATATTTGCCAGAAGGCTTAATATTTTTGTAGACTTAATGTTGATTAAAAGAGGTAGAAAATAGATAATAACATTATTACTTTTTAGACTTAAACGGACAAGGCTGTGAAAATAACTCATTTAATATCTTTGTCTCGATCGTGCATCGCACGGGGTACGTACTAGTTATTATTATTATCTTTCCTTAGTTATTTTGTTAGAAGAATAATTATCTTTTGGAATAATGACTTGTTTAGCAAGTTAGGAATTTAGTAGGATTAGGAGTTTATTTATTGTGACTTGAACGAGCAGACTTAATGAAATAGAAAAATATCTGCTTGAGATTTTATCTCTTGTTCCTTTCTTTTATCGCTGCGCTGCATCACAATGGTTATTCATTTTTTTCTAAAATATATTTGTTACGGAGAATATTGTTTTGACAATAAGTATTTTAATTCGAAGATATAGGTATTGTATATGAATCCAACAATATCAAGAAGAAAATAACATGATCATGAACAAGGAGGAGAAATGAATCAGCAAATCGCTGGTTCGAAGTTGTTGCTTTCTAACCAAAGAGCGGTCCACATTTTTGGACTGTGTATATATTTTTTGAATCGTTTATTTTGGTTTTTGTTGAGCACTAGTTCACTATCCGAACATAAATTTAAAATTGTCAATATCATCATGAATTGGCGGTTATAAGTTTGAATCACAAAGAGAGGAGGGGGAGTCAGTTCAAAATAATAATTAGTTCTGAAAAGCTTGTTTTAGAATCGAAACTGTCAATTTTAGTTGAGTCAATTTTTATTCAAGAAGGTTTCTACACAAAAGCTAGTTTTCAAAAGATCGTGGACACATCCATTTAAGAGAGAAAAAGCGAAAGTATATAAATTAGTTAATGACTGAAATTGCGCCTCTTGGAACTAAAATTGCGACCGTCCCAATCTAACGGGACCAAATTTGCAATTTCTTCTCCATTTTATTTATAAATCAAATTCATTGCAAATGATAAGTCGTAGCGGACCATATTTGGGCTTAAAGATGTTGGACCAATATCTGGGCCAGGGATAATAGGCAGCCCAATTTAAGACTAAACACATAGTATATGCAATTTAATTAATATATGATTTTAAATATTAGGAACAGCTAAAGTCTCGTTTACGGAATGATCCCGTCACAGTTTGTTATCGTAGATTACCTACACAATTTTACTTATTTTTCTTATCCCTTGGTGGAAAGCGCTGACGATACTGCCCCATAACGGACCTTAGCATTTCCCTTAAATATTTTATACAAACATAAATAATTTAAATTATTCTTTGTCCGGCCTAATTCTATCACCGTGCAACGTTCATTTACAGTCGAGTTGACTCATCATCGATACTTTTTAATTTTCCATTCAAAATAATTTGTGCTCATGTTTGTTCGTAACTATGTGGAGTTGTACTTATAAAATTCTAGCCCAACAGAGTTTGTATGTCTGATCGATCTTTCTATATTTAATAATTTGGCTTGTTCTTTTTGCAACCTACTTGTGGTTATCGTCAAACGTCCATCCAGACGATTTATCCACTTTTTAGATAATAGATATAGATATTAATAATCCGATTTTTATTTTTTATATAATAGATATTAACTAGTACAACACCCGTGTATTTTCACTCAAGAAAAATCACTCTGACAATGGCGTTGGAGAAAAGTTTTCTCCAAATCCTTGGAGAAGATGGGGTGGCAAGAGATCGTTTTTTGGGCTAAAAATTGTAGGGCCAGTGTGGGCCGACGGAAATGGGCCGCAACGAGGGACATCTTCACACTTGACACTAAAAAATGGATCGCATTTACTAACTAGCTCTCCAATTGGTTTCGACTTTGGAGCAAATATTTTATAATAAGCTGTGATATAACTGACATTGGTTATTCATTTTTTTTTTTTTTAATAAATTACTTAAGGAGAATATTGTTTTGATAATGAGTATTTTGATT